AAATGAAATACGCGAAATATATACGTTTTTCAATTGAGTTGTAAGTTAGGACTTTTTTTTTTCTTTTCTCTATCATGAATTAAACAAATTTGTCGAAAGTCAAGATAGAAGATGCTAATTAGAAACTATTACCTCAAGACGACTAGATTATCCTCAAGATGAAAATTACTACTATGTTTATGATCTATCTAATCAAATTTTTACGCTACGGGGACCTATCTAAAGTAGATGACTTGCAAAAGTTTCCCTCGAGTCAAATTTTTGTTTCTTTGTTTAGCAGACATTCAATTAATACATGATTCATCTTAAGTTAATAAAACTTAGCTAAAATATCAAAAGCTTATCTTAGAACAATGATGTAGGGGGTGTTTGGTAATGTTTAATTATTGTTGCACTTCCGCTCACAATGTTACACAGTGTCCATACTCCAAAAATTCTGGCTCATTGACAACAAAATTTGCTTATTCGATCAAGAAGTGTAGAACTTTTAGTCTTTTAGTGAGGTTTATGATTTTGTTAACATTAAAATCTTAAACTAATTTGAAACATTACTTTTAAGTAATGTGGATCATAAGGATTTTAAATTTAAGTTAAAACCTTACTTTAAATATGTAGCACCATCTGCTCTATGTAGTATAGTACCAAAGAGCTGGTGCATTTGTTAAAATTGAAATCTGAAAAATGAAATTTAAAATCTGAAATCTAAATTCATTAAATTATTGAATTATTAAGTATTAAATCTGATACATTTGAGTGCATATCATATTAAGTGATAAGTAAATAGTTTATCGCTTATTTTGGAGAGTAAGGTTTCTCTAGATAATTCAATGTCACTTAATTAATTCATCAATTCAATTTTTGATTATCAAATACGTCTGAACATATTGAGATATGAATCTATTAAATTTAAATACTGAATTGAGTTATAAACAAACTTAAGTCTTTCAATCTCTTTGGAATTCTTCTCTAACATAAAAGGCGTACTTAGAAATATGTTAGTTTATTTCTAATCAAGTAAAAAATCACTCACCATATAAGTGATTTTTCTCAAGTCAATCACTCTCCAATAGTTATCACAATTCCCAAAATGCCAAACCAAGATGGTGAGAATTAGGGTAAACACAATAAGCATAAGATTAATGGTTTTTCTAATGGGTACCCATTGAACACTCGTTAACATACATAATATTTACATAACTTATCAGGTATATGCACATAATAACAATTATTATCCTTATTTGCATTTATATACTTTTCCTATTGAATCTTACCTACCCTTCTTTATATTTATTTACTTTTCTTAATTAATCCTATATTTTAAAAAATATGACACTTGAAATATATTTTAACAAGTGCCACATGACATCTATTAGATAGACCCTAAGATTAAGCACCATTAGTATTCTAAAGTGGAAAAAGATTTGGAAATCACTAATCAATGCTTGTCTTCATGTAGGCCTTGAGGTACATGTTAATCCAAAATATTGCTCATAACACAAAAGAAAATAGCCACATAGTTGCTAGTTTTGTTGCTCAAAATTCAAAATTCTAGGCAAAATTTGACTTGTGATACAATAAAAAGCTACGCCAAGATTTTTACTTCTTCTTTGTGTACTTTTCATTAATTAGGCAATTCAAACATAAAAAATTTGTGAAATCTTACAAAATATTGAATGAACTACCATAAAGACTTTAAAATCAGACAATTGTAACTTTTAAAAAATAGGCTTATGAAATCAAATCCTAATAACATTTTATAACATCAAAAAATATTAGAAAATATAAAACAATCAATCTGACACCTATACAAATAAATAATTCCTCAATAACAAAAGTACAACAATGCAATATAATTAACCATAAACACTAGCTGTCACCACCAATGCATCCTAGACACAATCACCCCCAATCACACACACCAGAGGAAATACCAGAGGGGATTATGGCAAAGGAGCTCATCAAACACGCGCATGAAAACGCGAGTGGGCTTTTCCTACTTCTATCCTTCCTCACATTTTTCATCTCTTTCTTATATTATTCTATGGGATAATATCATATATCTCCGCTGAGGTTTCTCTTAATAGCATTTAATATTGCTAAAGTTTTGAAAATATCACATACATCCCTTATTAATTTCAAAATGGCAATATTAACCCTTACTTCATACATAATACATATATCAAATAAATGGAGTTCAAAATTTAGAAAAATAAAAGTCACTTTCTTCTCTTTTCCTTTTCTCTAATATTCTTTCTTGTTCATTTCTTCGGATGACTATGCAATTTTTTTTAAATAAATGATCGTAAATTGAACTTTATTTGTCCTTTTTTTTTTCGAGTGATTATGGTAAAGTACAGTATGATTCCTTTGGTTATTTCAATTATAACAATTTAGTAAAATTTAAAAACTTGGCTATCATTTGAGAAGAGGTTGGAATAAAAATAAGGTTCATAAAAAATTAGTTCTGATTATATAAAGTTGAATTGGTGTTAATGAATATTATTTACATGTATCTTTTCGTTTCAAATTTATACTTTTAGGAACTATAGCTTTGTGATATGGTGGCAATACTTAAAATTGCTTTTTAGATAGTCGTTTTTAATGGAGTCAATAAAGTTATTTAAGAGCATTTTTGTTTAGCAAAAGAAGCAAAAGCTTAGTTTAGAGTTTTAAAGATTTTGTTGTACAAATAGCAAAAGTAAAGGAGGTAAATAATATTTTTTAAATTTTAAAAATTCTAAGTGATATTAAGAAAAACCTTAGGGAGGTTTCTGATATTATCCGTTTAGTCTATTGAGTATAATCTGCGTACTCTGCCCCTAGTTTCTAGTTAACCAGTCATTCACGGTCTACATTCTACACTAATGTTACATTTATTGTTTTATTGCGTTTAAAACTTTACTTATTTAGCTTGAAAATTTTCCAAAAGCTATGAGTCATGGTTTCCTCATATTTAGACATTTTCCAAATTTAATTTCAATTTCTTCAAGAACCATTTTTTGGATTGAAGTTTTTTAAAGAAATTTTTTTAATGAATATATTTTTTAAACACCTTTTTATTTCACATACATCAAATCATTAGTGTATTTTTCTAATAAAAACTTTAAAAAATAGCAATCCAAATTATTCAAATATATTTTCTGAAGTTTTGTAGAAAATATACCGTAAATATTTGATATATATGAGGTAAAAAGATGATTGAAAAATATATTCAGAGAAAATTTAAAATTTTTTTGGAGAAAAACTACAATCCAAACTAGGAGAAATTAAAGTCTTTCCTTAACTATTGCCTATTGAAATTTGAAACACCAACTAAGTTTTGAAGTCTTTTATAACTAATGCCTATTGGGCACCAAAATTTTCTTCCAATCATTTTATTTTTTCATAATCACAATTTAATCACTCTGTTATCTCGTATACAATGCAGGACAAAATGCTATAGAATTTTATAGCCACGACATGTGTAAACAACCTTATTTGGAAAGTAATTTTTTTTCCAAAATTTTTTTACGTTATCTATAAACACATTTCTCAATTATTTCTTTATCTTATATTAGGGGTGGGCACGATCGAGTACCCTCCCCTAACATGATTTGGCTGACCCGACCCTTATATATCGGGGCACGGGTCGAGTACCCTCCCCTAACATGATTTGGCTGACCCGACCCTTATATATCGGATCAGCTATTTTGTGACCCTAACCCGCTCCTAATATCTTCGGATACCCGCTATCCGGGTACCCGAAAAAAAGGGGTGGGTCATAAGGTACCCGCCCCTAAAAAAAGACTATTTTTAATTAAAAAAATTATTCTTCACTTAATATCAACATGTTTTTAAATAAAAAAATATGCTTTTTCAATTAATATTGTTAAAAATATTATAATTAAAGTTCATACATTACCATTCTCACACATTTCTAATATCAAATTGATCTCATAAATTTAGTACATATTAGAATTATAATATCTAATGGACAAAACGAAGTTTCATAATAATTTTGAGTACATCATCATTCTTACACATTTCATTCTTCTACAACACAATAAACATAAAGATAATAAGTATTTGGTAACTTTCCCAACTTCCTTAAGGATATTATGGTATAAGATTGCATTCTAAATAAATCGATTGTGAAATCAAGTCCGGAAAAGAATTGAATAGAACTAATTATTTTTGGAAAAAATATAACCAACATAACCTTAAAAAAAATCTTTCCCAACTTCTTTACATCTTTGGAATGGACCTGATGGTATTAAAGAAAAATAAATTTCTTACACTAAATAAAAAAGACAAATTTAAGAGACATAATTGCAATAAAATAAATCAAATAAATAATTGAAAGACACAATATTTTAATTATCTAGCTAATAGAAAATTGAAACTCCAAACACAAATCTTTGATTGAATTGATGCAAGATTTGCAGGAAAGATCGATGGAGGTAGAATAAAAATAAAAAAGATGAACAATTTTTATAATAGAGTTTCACAAAATTTTGTTTATTTTGTTCATGTTTCACCGACAATATTCACTTTCTTCAAACAAGATGAGAAGAGTGGATCATACAAGATTAGAATATGAGGTTGCGAGCCACTTCACTTACACTTAGAATTAAAAATTACAAAGTTATAAAATAATCCCTAATTTTTTAATATTTATAAAATATACCCTGCAGGTCGGGTACCCGCGAGTTTTTATTTTTCTGATCCGTATCCGTACCCAATTTTTCGGGTACCCGACCCTCATCTGCTCCGCTAAAAAAAATCGGATCGGATATCCTATTTTTCGAATCGAATCGGATCAAATTCAGCGGGTTTTCAGGTCATCGGGTTTTTTTGCCCACCCCTATCTCATATATATCAAAATTATTACAGTATAATTTTCTATAAAAATTTCAAAAAACAGCAATCCAAATGAAATATTTTTGGAGTGGTGAAACTATTCAAAATTTTCCCCATATATATATATAAAAAAATCGGCTGCTTAGGCTCCCTGTCCTGCTGTCCACCCCCATCCCCTCCCCTAACTTGCTCCTTTTTCCCCAAATTCGCGTGTAATCTCCGAACCCATTCATCAAAATTAAACCCCTTTTCCTTTCTTCTTATACTGGTATTACTACTCCTCCTCCTCTAACATTGCTCTTCACCCAGAAGAAAAAAGCCCATGACTGGAAAATCCACAAATAATTGGAAATATAGCTCAGATTAGAGATGGCTTTTGGTTTCTGTTGCTAATTATTCTTCTTCTTTCTTCTTCACTAGCTTGGACAAGGTAAATAAATTTTTTTTAAAATGAAAAAGGGAAAAAATCGAGAATTCGATGGAATTGATAAAATTGAGTTGTAAAACGATTTTTTAATTGAATTTTTAAGAATGCCAATCTATGATCGTTTATCGGGACAGTTCAACTTAGTTTCTATCGCTTTTGCAAGCTTCATTTTGTCTAAAAATGGATTTTTTTTGAAAAAATTGTGGGTGCGTTGAATTTTTGAGTTTTAAATAGGAAAATTAGGCTTTTATGGAGTAGTATTGGCTATTTCGGAATGACTAAGATTTTTTTTTTGGGTGGTTTTTTCCCTAGGGTTTTCGAATTGGATCGGTTACTGGACAGCTGAAATTAGGGTTTTGATCAGCAAGGACAAACTCGGTGGAAGGCAGCTCGGCAATCTGAGATTTCATCTCCGGAGGTTAATCTGAAAGTTTTTGCTTGTCGGTTGGATCGAATATTCAGTGGATTTGAGCTTGGTTTTAACCCTTGTGGAAGGTTGGACTTTGCGAATTTGGGGTGTGGATAGGAATGGAGGAAGACTGCAGATACAAGTAGAATTGCAGTGACTGATTGGTTGAGGAAATTTAACTGAAGAGAACTGTTGAATTGTCGGGTGATCCTGAGTTGATTTTCGAGTACTTATTTTGTAAATTTTCGTGGTTTTGCTTGATTGGGAATGGTTTTGGTGTTGGGCTTTGGTAGTGAAGTGAAGGAGTTGATGTTTGGTAAATCTTGGCCTGATAGACAAGTCATAAGATCAAATTGTAGAGGAACTTTGTCATTCAGCAAGCCATTTGGATTGACTTGATACAAGCTGAAGTTTTTACAACACAGTATTTTAGTTTGTTGTTCTGTATACCCTGATTTTATCTTTACGAGTATTGTGCAAATTGTGAGCTCCACATATAGACTGAAATTTTGAGAACGATTATGGATATGCATTGCTAGCCTTTTAAGTGAAAGGTGAGATAAGTGCGCTTGGGTTTTGGTGGAGGAGCTGGAAATCTTACTGCAGTGTACCTGATAATTTTCGGACAAAAGCATTAAAGTTTTAACGGAACTTTTGTGTAGGCGGTGGTATCAATTATTGTAGCTATACATCTGTGGTATTACGTGTCACGTAATTGTAATTTATGTATTGAGTTGGTTTGAGCTTTAAAGTCGAACTGATCCTAGGATAAGCTTCTTGACTTCGTGGCAAGTGCATATAACGAGGGGTGAAAGGTGTCGCTGCTGAAGGAGGGTAACGTATTTTAGGCGGTGGAGTAAGAGAAAGGAGTTCATGGAGGAGTTTTGAAAATTGAGATGAGTGTGCTGGTGTCATGGTGCATGGACAGTTTATTCGCTGGTCTGTTCCCTTATTGGAACACTGCTGTGTAAAAATAATTAAGTCAATTTGTTACCTTAAAGCTTGTTTCATTTATTGTAGTATTTTGTGCAATGTCTCGCTGCTTTCCATTTCCACCACCAGGTTATGAAAAGAAGCCTAGACTAGAAGATTCAAGTGTACTAAAAGAGGTTTGTTCTTCAACCCATGTCGTTATTGATTAAACTCTCAATACCCTGACTAGTGACTTTTTGCTTTCATATACATCTCTATTGTTGGGTATAGATCTCCATTGATCAGTATCGACTAACAAAATTATGATCTCTGCCTATATGAAGGAAAGAAAAGAAAAAGATAAGGGAAAATAATGACAGTTTATTAGTTCTGGTGGTATCTCTAATCGATTTAAGATTATTTTTGTTTTGTAGAAGCTTATGTTCGCTAGATATGGGGTATTAACATCCATTCCATTGTGTAAAAAGAAAGATATGATTAATGAGAGTTAAGGAGGGAGTTTGAGCCACAACATCAAAGGTGGTGAATTTGTCTTGGATGATCGAGTTTACTGGGTTAATGGGCTTGTAGAGGATGAATATTAGCTTGAGAAACATTCTAGGAAGACGGATTTTGTGCATGGATTTCATTTTTTTTACTTCTTTATAGGGTGCTTCCAGATTTAATTTCTTTTATGATCAAAATCTAGTATGATGCTCTGTTGTCCTGTGACCTAATTCTGTATATAAGGTAAAACTTAATCTTTTTGCTATAGAGCCACTTGTGGTTTCTAATTTTTGTGAAGGATGATTTCTTTGGTGTATTAGCCTATGGGTTGTTGTTTAGTTAAATAGATGGCATGCAAATTTTTAGGCACCTGTTGACATGTGGAATGATGTAATCATGGAATTTTTCTTTAATCGAAGATTGGCAGCCTGTGATAAATTAATCTTTCCTATGGAGGTTCTATTTCTATAACTGTCTTAATGCTACTTAATTTAATGTATCCTTTCTATAGGGAGGATTCTTGCCAGAGCTTTAGACTCCTGAGAATCACACTACTTTAGGGGGTGGGGTTGGAGGGGAAGGTGTTCGATTACCTACTTTGGAAAGAGAGTGAGGAAACCAGACTACTTTAGAGGGAGAATTATGAGCACTCTGCCTGGAGTAGGAGGACAGAATCACACTGCTTGAGGTTAGTTAAAGGTGGAGGGTGGACCTGAATGCATGGATAAGTTTGAAGAAAAGTGCCCATATCTGTTGATTACTAGTTTGCTTGTTTTCTCTTAGTTTTACAAGTCTCCAATGCTTTAGTATACGAGGGCAGGCTCAGGATACATGCCATGTAAATTTATGCTTTTTAATCTAAACCGGTCTATCTAGACCACCTCTTGGCTCTGCTTTCTGCACTGAAGAACTTTGCTACATAAAGTATGAAATTAGATGCCTATAAGAATAAGCATATAGGAAAGGGAAACAGAACCTATATGCTTGCCTCTTTCGAAATGAAGATAATTCTTGGGTATGAGTAAAACCATTTCTTCCATTTGATGATATATACACAATATACAAGAACTTGGACTGTTAAATTTCTAGTAAGCTAATGATAAAACCATTTCTTCTATTTGATGATAAATACACAATATACAAGTTGATGATATATACACAATATACAAGAACTTGGACTGTTAAATTTCTAGTAAGCTAATGAGGTTTCTGAAGCATTTTTCAGATGAACTTTGCAATGTTTCTGTGCATCCAAAGCATTTGATCTTGTGGATGCCATGCATGTGCAAGGAGCTGAGTACTTTGTCGAATTGGCTCTTTACGCGAAAAGTTTCTTGACCATCTAGATAATGCATTTAAGTTTCCTATATCAGATATGGAACTTGTTGTTATGAGTTAAGTGTGCAACTTATAACTGTTGCCTTGATCTCTTGCCTAATGACATGCACTGAGACATGCATTGAATGCTTGATGTGATTAATGACAATCGTCTATTAACCTGCTGAGTGCTGACCCTTACTTCATTCACCAAGTAATGTAACTGACTAAAATTTTTGGCTTTCTGAATTTAGCTTTCTTTTGCTCACTTGTAAATGACATATTGATCTTGGGGATGTTGTTGCTTGACTTATTTGTAACATTTGCAACTTTTGGAACTAATAGAGAAGATCCAGGATAAGATTTAAAAAAAAAAAAAATCTTTGGCTGCAAGGTCTTATATGAGATACTGAAATTTGCCATGACTCCTAGAAACGGTCACGGAGTGGATGATCTGTTTGAAGATTTTTAAGTTATTTAGAAAAGCTCTGAAATTTTGTTCTTAATTGTAGAGGTTTTTGTTCAAGATATGAAATCGTTGGTTTCAATAATCCAATCACTCTCATAGTCCATTGGTTTGCTTATACAGGCGACAATTAGAATTGGTTAAGCATGAATTCTTAAATATGAAAATACCTAATCTACTTGTGACTTTCAAGTTCATAATAGGTAAGTACTTTACAAAGAGCTGGTTTGATGTTTTGAATAGCCAAAAAAGGTGCAACAAATATACTACATAGAATTCCATCTGAACCAATCTGTTGAGATGGTTAAGGTTATCTTGAACTCCTGTGTGATTTGTCAATTCCAAATATGAATATCTTGAGCAAATCATGAAGCTATAGAAGTGAAGTGTCCTAAAATATACTATGCCTCCATAGGGTAATTCTTGCATCTTGAACTTCCCGAAACGCTTGGTGATTGTGTTCTTCTCCTATTACACGTGGTTTGACACTTGCATCGTTCAGTTCAGGTATAAGCTTCCTTGAGAATCATGACATCTCCACCACATTAAAATAAATATAAAAGGAAAATTAAGAAACTTATATCCCAGTATAATTATAATTTTCTAATTCTTGATACTCTTTTTTTTTTTTTAAATTATCTCTTGCCCCCCTTGATTAATCAAACTTGCTCGCAATCCTAAATATGTCAGCGTGGCTGTTGGCTTATTTAGGAAATAGGAGTTTATGTGTGTATTAGCTCTCATATAGAAATTGGTTTTGCTTCTTTCTTATAGGACTCAAACACAGAGAAACCATTATAAAAACTGACATGAGATATGTGAATGGGATTATTTAGTTCTTTGGCTGCTAATGAGATGTAATGTATCGTTTGAAGTCATTTGGACCCGTAAGCATCTACAAAGTGCATAAGTGAGTCTGACTTATTTAGTGCTAGTTACTAACACTCTGCCTTTTCCCATTCTCCTCTTGAGATAATAATTTATGTCAAGCTGCTCACATGGTTTCTAAAAAAATGCCTTCTTCTGACAGACATTTGACAGCAGCACATTACTATAGCTAGAAAAGCTGATTGCCTTTCCCATGAGTAAGTAATTGGCACTTGGGGTATTATTTGTATGTGGAATATTGAAAGAATTATCTTAAGTGCTAACTTAAATCGCTTAACATCTGGTGTAACATAATTTTGTTAACTGAATACATATCCTTACACTCAGTACTATTTGCCTTCCCATTTTCTTGTTTTGCTGTTAATTATGCATGGTTGTCGGGGCAGGACAGCATCATTCTGTCATATTCAGGCAGTGAAGAGATTCTGCTATGCATGTTTATCTGTGGACTTTTGTTTTCCAAAGATTCTCTCTGGGTGTTCATGGCCTTATATGTTTGTGGGGAAGTGCTATACTTGACCCCTGAGATTGTTGGAGGAGGAAATGGGGGTTGGTCTAAAGGTCTTCAAGTTCACTAGTTGTTCTTTGACCATGGAACCACCAAAGGAGTTGATTACTAGACTAATCTTTCTCCTACTTTGTGAAAATGTTGTTACCCTTTAATACTGCTTTTTCTTTACCCGTAAGATCCTCTAGTAAAATCTAAGCTTGCATCTGTTTGCTAGCTTGTTCTGTATGGTTTTACCCTTTTTTTCCTCAAACAGTGCCTAAACATTACTTACTAGTTGGTTTATTCTAGTAAATTGCACTTGCTGAACTTTTAAAATTTGTCTCAACTCTATAGCAAATTGTTGCTTTGTGTTATTGATGGGCTGAGGTAGATGATCAGGCCATGGATTTGAGTACATGCATTTACTTATTTTAACTTGATTGATGGGATTGTCCTAAATTTACTGCAGGCAAAAGTCCTTCTAACTAAAAACATTTGGATACCAAACCCCTATAGAAGAAGTATGGCTGTTAAGATTGTTCTAATACTGTCTAGTAGCAGACACTTCTCATACCCTGCTTCCACTACCAAAGAATAAAGATCTTCATGCAACTATTACCAACTTATCTCTGTGCCTAATCCAGTGGCTTAGTGTTTGAATCTCATACTGTATGCAACACTCCATAATTCTGTATTAGACTCTTTGAATTATTTTCAATTTGGAAGAAAAAGTTTTTTGGGATGGTTGTCGGTATTGCATGTATTGTCTTTAGAGATTTTCATGGACTATTTTATATCAAAATTCATAGCTCATCACACACAGTTGTACTGGCCAAGAAAAGCTCTCACTAGGGATTTTATGTACCAAAATGTGGTCATATCCTTCTCAGGTATTTGATGCAACATCATGTGCTAGATCTTTTTGTTTTGTTGTCATGCATGTGTATCAACCATTTGGACGTATGTGTATAGTGATTCTTTAATTCCCTGTGATGTTTAACTACTAGAGATATATAGTGCACGCTTTCAGTTTTGTCATATCCCATGTGGAAGTTGGGTCAAAGTTTTGCTTTTCTTTGTTATACATATTACCTTCCAGTGTAGTTTTCCTGTATATTATTTGTCTGATATTCCAAAAATTTCTTTTATGTTTCAGGAGAAACAGAAAGAAAAGAGACAGAAAAAGGAGAAGAAAGAGAAAGAAAAGAGAGAAGGCAAAGAAAAAAAGGATAAGGAGAGAAGTGATGGCAAACACAGGGACAAAAAGGATAAAAAAGAGAAAAACAAGGAGAGAAAGGACAAACATAGGGAGAAAAAGAAGGAAAAGTGCAAAGACAAAGATAAAAGCAGCACCTCAGAAACGAGCAGAGTTACTGGAATTCCTGAGGCTAAAGGAGTGGAGAAGCTCAATGCAGGAGATGGAAAAATTGATAGATACTCTGCAGAGGAAAAGAACCATCCTGCTCAGTTTCATGGCCATAACGGAGGCAGAAGTGTTGAAAGCAACCTTGTTGCCAGTAGAGCTGAAGAATCAGAACTTGTTCCACAATTGGACAAGAGTATTAGAGTTGAACAAAAAAGTATTGGGGATGAGTTGGTTGAGAAATTCTCAGGTCTGGACAAAAAAAGGGATGATGAGGCACATAGATTTGCAGCCAGAAATCCTGGAAATTTGGCTGAAGAGAAGGGCAAAAGTAGTGATAAACAATTTGATAACAAGAAGATGGAGGGGCAAGGAACTTTTAGTGGAAACTCAGTTGTTTATAACCTTTCAAAAACGACTGAAGGTAAAGTTGAAGGAATCCCCAAGGTTGTGGAGAAAAATGATGAGAGACGGCTGGGAGAGAAGGAGAAAACAAAAGAAAGAGGAAATGATAAACGGGGAGACAAACATAAGGATAAAGACAGGGATAAGAAAAGCCATGGTAAGGACAAAGACAAGGAAAAAGAGAGGAAAAAGAAGAAGGAGAAGGATACAATTGGGCACAAAAAAAATGACCAGGACAAAGCAGAGGATGGTAGGAGTGGCATTATTGGTGTTATTGATAGCAGAAGCTCATCTCTTTCCTCGGACCTCCAAAAAAATGCTAATGTTGAGGGAAATCCCAAGAAAAGAAAAGATGTTGGCATAAATGGTTTTCTCCATGGTGAGTTCTTTTCTAGAGTGAACCTTAATCTTGCATTTGGTTGGCAAAACATAAGCATTTTCCCTCATATGTGCATGTACTGTATGAAATGCCTTACCAAGAAACTCCTAAAATTCCCTTTTTTCTCAGGAAAAAAGGGTGGGGGGTGGGGGTGGCTGGGGTTGTTTCGAAGTTCCTTTCAAGTGTAAAATTACATTTAATGGAGCTAAACAGCCTTTCATGTATCCAGTTGTAATCATTGATCCTGTGCAGGGTTATGCAACTCTAATAAACCTTTGTAAATGGCTAATTTAGTATTTGCTTGCCTGAATTGCCTTACAGACACAGAAGTCAGGCCTCATAAACTACAACGGCCCACTTCTCACCAAGTGGTAGAGAATGGTAGGAAGTTGGAAGCTTGCCAAATTCAGAGCTTGCTTACTTCTGACAGGCAGCCAAATGCTGCAATACTTAAGGTGGATGAGAAGGAAGGCAGGAAAAATGGTATTATAGAGTCCCTACCATTGCCTGCAAAACCAAAATCTTCTGCTGCTGCTGCTGATGTAGATGAAATTACTGCAGTATTAAGAAAACCTCCCCATCCTGATTCAAAGTATCTGAGCAAGGTACTTTCAGTCCCCAAGATGGACGAATGGTCTGAATTTGATGACCAGGAGTGGTTGTTTGCTAGCCAAGCTCCTAGGAACCCCAAGAAGGGTGGTAGTGCTGTTGGAGAAGAGCTGCAGGTCTGGTCCAAGGCTCTGCACATAGAATCAGCTGATGCAGTTGCGTTGCCATATGTAATTCCTTACTAATTGGGATTCATTGGGAAGCAATTTGTGGCGGCAAAATTGTTAAAAGGCAGCCCGTTGATTGTATAGCAGTGCCTCTTGAGACGAATACTATGGTTTTTAGCTGCATTCTTCTCCTATGGGGCCACCGAGATGCAGTTTGGGTTGCAGGTTCTAATTGCTCTGTAATCATTGCAAGAGAAAGGGATCAACTGAATAATGTTGCTTCCAGAGCGCTCACTCGGCATGTCATCCTGGTGCTTGGCATTAGGGGTATTCGAGACATACTGTTTTATTAACTCAAAAGGGTTCCAGTGGGGTATTGAGGCCGCCTCCTGAAACCGGAGGGGGATTTTATGCCAATGCACAAGCATCTGCAGTTTTCTTTTCCTTCATGTGCTCTTTCTAGGTGAGCACAAGTCATCTAGCTGTGCTCTTGAGAAATCCACCACAATTTTGATTTGTAACATAGAAACTCTATTTACTAGAACTGTAAGATACAGGAAATAGAAAAAGGTAGTTTCATTCATTTGATTTAACTTAGATGTAAGTGTTGTCCATAATAACCCATCTGTTTTTTTCATTTGTCTATCATCAGGTGTATCAACCCGTCTAATTTAGTGTTAACTGAATTGAGGCATCAAAAGTTTCACTTCCCAGACGTTTTTCGTGTGCATCAGACAAGCCATTCAACCTACCAAACTGGTTACAAAATATTTCTGCAGCAGAAGTTAGTGTATTGACCAAGGCTTGTTCTATCAGCCATTACATCCATTTGTCATGAATTGTCCCTTTTGTCGATGTGTGGTTCTTCTACCTCTGGATGATAAATCTAAGAAAAAATGGTTCTTGCCACTGAATATGCAAATATGGCGAACTTTTGATTGGTAACTTAATGTAGTATAATTGTTTTGAGGGTCATTCCCATTCTTTCTTGCTGACATAATGCTACTCATTCAAAGGATTTGGAGAAAGTTGAACTTCACTCTGAACTGAACCTACATCCCCTTATACATTGCTTTGCCCTGCCACAACATGATCTGATCTCATGATTCTATGTAATGCCTGCTAGTTCACTCTGCATGCCTGCTAGTTCCTTAACTACCCAACAATTGATATCAGCTTGCATGGCAGGCATTTGTACTGGAGAAATGCGATAGGCCTTTACAAAAACTTAGGAATACAACACCAGATTCCGACAGATATAAAGGCCTGCTCCTCGAGGAACCTTAAATGTGGCACCGCTATGACTCATCACTCATGGTGCTTCTTTTATCAAGGCAAGGCTGATGACCGTGATGGAAATTGCTCCGCGTTTCAGATTGATGTTGCACAGGTTGAGAAGATCCTGCAGTTTGTATCAATTCCTCCGGAGGACGGTAGAAAGAAAAATGATCGGTACTGAGCTATTTACCTGTCTGTCATTTTCTGTCTACCTACAAAGGAGAAAGCTAATGAACGGGATTTTTGTTTACGACTTCGAAGCGTTGAGTTTATCAGAAGTCAGGGTTTCTGATTACAATTTAAGCCTTCTACAGAATCTACACTGGTTGTGATTTACCAACTTCTATTAGATTGCTCAACAATAATCATGGCAGGGCGGTGATCAACTGCACAAACAGCCGAACTCTCATCACCAAGGTCGGGCCTCCTTTTGTTTCGATTTTTAAGTGAAATTTTTGTTCTGCCAACTCTTCCAAATTCCCTCTTCCCCCTTCAACAATCAGTATGTAGCTGCTCCGCATCTGCGTGTCCTTATGGTCCTTTCAACATTTGCACCCCTAGATATTGGAACCAATCCTGCATCCTGAGTACGCAAGTTACAGGAAAAGAATCTGAAACCAGGCCTTTTATGTCCTCCTACAAAGGTTGTTTCAAAAGAACAACTAGGGAATTACAGAAGAGTGAACAAACATCACTAGCAAAGAGCAAAAAGAAAATGAAATTGAAGAATCGGTATAATTTCAAGTCAAAACGGACTTAAACAAGTCTGACATGAATTCATACGCAACAAAAGTTACAGCACCAGCAGGTGCGGCTTTTTGCCAACAGCCTCTTGGACAGTTGGTACAGCTAAGACATTTAAGTCTTGGTAGGAGTGAAAGGTCAAGGATTTAACCCTTGCCATTCATCTTGCTACTTAATTGTGACTGTCATATAAGTGTGGTTTCCTTCGACGGAAAAATCTCGTTGGCTTCCCCTCCCCTTAGACTAGGTTAGAATAGATTATACAAATGTTATTGCTGCGATAAAAAAAAAAACTGGTGCGGCTTTGACTATTGACGGAACAATTCCCTTAAAAGCCCTGCACAGCCTTCTGTCTGCAAAATCCGGAAGAGGGCATCAAATATATTTGTGTCCACACGTTCCTCAACTTGAGCTCCATACCTAGTATCCCCTGGCAATCCTTCAAATCTTCAGTAAAATTAGCTTTTACATGAGAGATGGCATTAAGCACAAGTATCAACTTTGATGTGTCCTTTCTGAACTTCCCTCCTGACATTACTTATTTCCTGCTTGTAATATTGTATCTATATAATTGATGTAGACTGAAGGACAAACTTTTATAAAAGAAAAAGGTCCATTAAATGAAAGCAAAAATTGTGAGTAAAAACCAACAATGCAGCAAAGAGAGCTTAATAAAAAGAGAGAACCTTCAGCAGATTGCTCTTCATACTCTAAGAGGGTCTCTTTAGCTGCATATTTATTTTCTACTTTTAGTAGAATTTTGAAAAATAAAACAGAAAACAGAAGCATCAGTAGCCAGTATATTCTGCCAAAGAATAAAGGTGAGACCAATTGCAATCATAATAATGACAGATTCACTTGTTTATCAAAAACCACAGTGTCCAGAATACATATAATGAGGAATCAATTGCAATGATTAATATCCAAGTTACCAGCAGTGAGCAGTTGCAAAGTTGCACCAGCAGATAACAAAGGAAAGAAAATCCATCAAGTTGAGATTAGCATAATCAACAAGTAAAGATGTATTTTACCTGAGAATAAGAAGAGCATTACAGCATCCATTTGTGCCGAGTACAAGTTCCCTGCAGGCAGAATTCCAAGATAACAAGTAGAAGTTTATGGAACACTTTGATTTTTAAGTATATTGAAATTTGGGGCTTACTCTGAAGTTTTCTTCTTTTTTTTTTTTTTTTCATTTTCTAGTTAAGATGTGAGTCATTTTCGTGAATTTTGAAGATAAAATCATCTTTTTCACCAAAAGGTTTTTGGCCAAAGTTTTGTTTCAGTAGAACTGTAGAAGGCAGAGCCGAAGTCTAATCCCGCTGAAGAAGACGATGAGCAGTCTCACTGGGTTTGGAATTTAGACAATTAAGGCTAAAATTTCACATTATTCACCAAAATACCACCCATATTCTCTGCTATCTTGGTTTTGCCCTGGCTACTATGCAACTAGTGTGGTTGATAAAGGAGTATTCTAGAAGTCACTGGGGCCGGTCAAGGATTCGATTCTTGCTTCCCATTAAAAAATTTGTCACAATGTATGATGGCTTTGATTGGCTATCTTCAAAGAAATTTCTGCTCACATGAGTCCCTCTCCCCCTTCCCCTAGATTAGCTTAAATTCAATGTACATGGGATGGTGGTAGTTGGAGGGATTCTATTGGGGAGTCTTCTTCTTGTAGTTTTTGGTTTTGTGGTACATTTTCATGAAACTTCACCAAACAAAAATGGAGGGAAATGAAAATTTTTTCAGGAAAATTATTTTCATTGAAAATGTTCTCCTTGGAAAAAAATTTTACATTGAAACAAACGCACCCTTAGTATCAAAAAAGTTATCAATGCACTCTCCTGTTTGGATTGCAATTTTCTAAAATTTTTGTAGAAAATATGCTGTAGCAAATTGATATAGGTGACATAAAAAAGATGATCGAAAAATATGTTTGTGAAAATCGTAAAAATTTTTTGGCCAAGATGTGTCTCTCTTTAAATCTTGATATGATCCAATATAGTTTCATATGCAAAAGCTTTTGTCGATATTAGAATTTACTTTTACATAAAAGCCACCTTATACTTTAGTGGCTTGGTCAGGATAATTATCAAGTTCTATGTTACATAGATATGTACCTATTCAGACTGAAAATTATTCCACATAAGAATGAAAACTAAAAAAGCATTGTGCCTATGATGCAATGGCAGAAAATCCTTGTAATTCAATTTCAAAAGAACAATGATAGAAACTACTGATAAAAGGCACATTCAATGTATTGCATTTAAAAATAAATCATTATTTTGTGAATTTATTTTATTTTACTAAACAAAAATTTAATCTTTAATTTAAGAAATTTCTCCTTTAAGAGTATAATTATGTTGGATGTGGTTTGGTGGTTACAATGGGAAAAAGTTGTGGTCAGCATAAAAAATTAGATTTTCTGAGGGTTAAAAGTGACGAAAAAAATATTTACACCAAACTCAATATCCCACTTTATATATAGTATAGATAATTGAATTCTAGAAGAACAATAATGGAAATGGTGAAGAATGTTCTTCAAGGAGATTGAATCAGTGGATGAATTGTGTTAATGAAATGAATGATTAGAGAGAGAAAAATGTGCAAAGGAATTGGAGATCAGAGAAATACACACTCCTCCCTCTTCTCTTCTCATATTCCTTTTAATACTAAGCTAGCTGAAGGGTCACAACTAATTGACAGTCATAACCAATTGAGACAAGGCAGCTAGTAGCAGTTAATCACACTTAACTCTATAAAATAATCATCAAGCTATCTAAGCAACTACTCCAGTAATTAACCAACCAATAATGCTGTGGCCAACTAAATAGCAATGATGGAGAAGCCATATCTTATCTTATACATATATAAAGCGTCCATCGCTTATGAACAGTGCAGGATGAGCCGGTTATCGCGTGATTCTCGTGGCTTTGAGGGGTGTTTTGGTCATATTTGTGTGGCTTTGAGGGGCATTTTGGTCCTTTAATCATTCCGTGGTAGTGGCTGTGCTGGAATTTCCCGTGTGTCTTCGTGGCTCTCATTCCTTTCTTCTCATCCGCGTGGCTCTCATGCTTTTGTTCTCATTCTTGGCCTGTTCTTGGTTTTGGGAGCACCGCTTCAGGAGTACAGCTTCAGTTCCTCGTTCTTCTTCTTAGAGCTAATTCTCTCATTCTTTACTTCGTTTACCTTAGACGGTGAGCAGAGTCTCTTTTTAGCTTTTATTATTCTTCTTAGTTTTCTTTGCCGGCTTTAGCAGACGTCTGTTTGGTTTCCACTTCAGCAATGTATCATCTCCAGGTTCTCTGATTAATTGGCTCTGCTTAGTTGGCTTCAGCGCTCTGTGGTTTTGCAAGGTGAAATCTTTATTCTTTCGCCTACCTAATGTTCTGAGTAAGCTTATCTTGTAAAGTCTTAACTTTAGATGTGTGTTTGATTTCCACTTCAGCGGTGTATGATTTCCAGGTTCTCTGCTTAATTGGCTTTGCTAAAAATTTCGTTTCCCAGTTACTTCAGCGCTTTGTGGTTTTGCAAGGTGAAATCTTTATTCTTTCACCTAGCTAATGTTCTCAGTAAGCTTATCTTCTGAAGTCTTCACTCTTTGCTTTATTTGTGCCACTTGATGCTTTGCTGCAGATTAATGCTTTAAGAATGGGTCGGAATAGAGTATATGGAAGTTTGGAGGAGGCCCATGCTGAGAAAAATTGAAGGAGCCGCGAGTGGCGTGCTGCTGCTCGTCGTGGAACAAAGAATGATGCGCCATTAGGAGTGTGTACATTAGCTGTCACAGCTTTTAATATACGTGACCCAAATGCTATGAATCAGCCAAATATGGGTGCCACTGAATCATCATTGGCATCGGACTCAATGCTCGCATCTACAGAGAGTATTGCAGAGCAATTTGCGACTGTATGTCTGTGCTTATTTTGAGCATACCTCGTGGAATGTAAACTGTTGTTTAAATCCTTTGGAATAAATGTTAGATTATTTATGTCAGCAATGGTTTCGTCCAAGCATGTACTTTGGTGTGGCTAACCAGTTGATCAGATGTTAGCTTTTATCTATTACAGATCAAATTGACTTATTTAGGCACACCGAACTCATAATCTTTACCTATGTTTTGGCTGTTTTGTAGGAAAATCAACGTGATGTATCTAGGCCCATTGCTGATGGTGTTAACAAGGTTCCACCAACTAATTTAGATATTGGTGAACCATCACTGCGTGAGCAACGTCGATCTACAAAACGCTCTGTGATTGATCCATTAACCAAGATAGCAACAGAGCCTATAGTATTGCCTGATGTTCCAAGTTGTCCGTATTGTCATGCAAAACGATTTCATTAGGAACCGCCTGCTTTTTGCTGTGCCTCTGGTGAGATACAGCTATTACCTACTGAGATGCCGAGAGAACTTATGCTATTATATATGGAAGACTCTGATGAGGCTGCCGAGTTTCGCAGATGTGTTAGAAGCGATAATAACATGTTTGCATTCACTTCGATTGGTATCCATGCTGATAAATCTTTGGCTGCAAATTACAATGGAGTTTATACATTTCGAATCCAGGGACAAATATACCATTATATTAATCCACTTATTCCAGAGGATGGTGAGAAGCCACGGAACTTGTAGCTTTATTTTTTTGACACTGACCATGAAACAACGCAGCGGCTATCAATCTCAAGTAGATTTCGAGAAACACTGGTGACAAAGCTTGAGGAAATCTTAAAGATCAATCCTTACTCTGCATTTTTTTCGAGGATTACAAGATTTGCCAGACATAGATGATTAAAAGATTGTGCTTAATACTACGCCTACTGTAGATCAGCGAGTTCTCAATAAACCTACTGTGTCACAAGTAGGAGCTGTTTGGACTGAGAGTACAAATTTTGAACATCTTAACTCTAAACATATACAAATTTATGGAAAGAATGGTCAAACACAGATTATTAAGCGTTATTTTGCTTGTCATGGTTCATTGCAATATCCTCTTGACATTAAAGATTAATTGTCCTGTTATGTTGATTCGAAACATTAACCCTACTGAAGGCCTATCTAATGGCACCCGACTGATATGCAAAGAATTTGGAAACAATGTAATACATGCAGAGATTGCATGTGGTTCTTTTACAGGTAAGCGTGTTTTTATTCCCAGAGTTCCTTTGCAAACTTCTGTTGATGATTTCTGTTCAGTCCCTTTTAAAAGAACACAGTTCCCTCTAAGATTATGTTTTACAATGACAATTAATAAACCACAAGGACAAACGTTGGATTATGTTGGTCTATATCTAAAAGAACCTGTTTTCTCCCATGGCCAATTATATGTTACATTATCACGTGGTAAAACGTCAAGTACTGTCAAAGTATTAATACGACCTCCAACTCTATTTTCTGCAGTCATGAATGATGAATGAGTTCGTGCCAGTAATTCATGCTCGCATAGAGTAAGGTATGTTGTTTAACTCTTTGTGCAAATTTCCATTTCAAATTTATTCTATTTATGCCTCCCCACTGCTTTGTTTGTAAAACTTGGGATTGCCAGGTTGCTCGCATGAATGAATAATTTATTTTATGCTAAAACCAGAACCAGGAACTTTAGGAAATGTCTGATGTTTTGGCTCAGCATGATCCAGCACTGGCAAATGCCTTGATCGTATGATTGTTATTTAACATGTTTGATGGTATGAGTGCAACAAAAAATATACATTCCAATGAAGGAAAAGGAGAAGCAAACTGTTGAGCTAGAGGTCCACAATCAGAGAATGTTCAAAACCGAGTTGTGCAACAAATAACAAGAGACCAAGGAATGTCCCTATGAAGAGAACTATCAATTTGCTCATGGAATTAAGGAGCTGCACCCTGTACTTTGAATACTAGGCTGACGTGGTTTTTTCCCCTACTTATCTTTCTCAATTTGATTGTTATTCCTTTTTGGTGTAAAGTTTTTTTTTTGGATTTTGGACTGTGGATTTTCTTCCATTTTATACAACCAAGCATGAATTGATTGAAATTATATGAAAGTTTGAATTTTATGATGCCAAGCAATGTTATGCATAGAAATTTATTAGTTAAACAAAATATTGATTCTTGGACTCCAAAAAAAATTGAATCAATTTTAAAGATTTGATTATTGGTCTTGATAGTGACTCGATTGGTAAGCTGTTTGGAAAAGCTTATTTCCTTCCTAGCCTGTTTTTTGTCCTAAAAATTTTGCCAAGTTTGAAACCCAACCATAGCTAAAGTTGATAAGTTGATTAAACTTAATAGCCGTCTTATTGTTTAGGGATGAAATTGATTTGTACCGTGACCTTTGTTATGTCTGGATTATTTATTTTATTTCCAGTTTTTTTAATTCTTTTCAATATGATTTAATAGAAAGCTTCAGTCATGGGTTTGGCCTAATTTTTTTCAATTTTGATCACTAGAATTACAGTTTACTTAGTTTTAAGGTTCCTAACAAATTTCTTGTATTATCTAAGAATTTAAGTAAAACTCATCTCCAGTATCTTCGATACTTCCAAGTGTGGTGTTATTCAGCTCAATAGTGGCTTCGCTCAAACTCCTCAGATGAGGTACAAGTTACATTCATAGTATCATCCTTTCTGGAATGCTTTTTTGTCTCTATCTAGCTATTGATATTGGTGGGAAGTCTGTCTATTGAAATATGGGAATGTATCTATAGTGTTGCTGGGAGACCATACGGAACATTTATTATAGGGCATTTTCCTTTGTTCAAATTTTGATAGATAACTAGCTGAACTTCCTAATTACTTCTCTGTTGGTTTCACTTTGTACACTCAGGCCTTCATGGAAAAATCTTTCTCAATACAAAAGGGGATATAGCATATATAGGTATTGCTGTTAATCCTGATACCTGAACAAAGTCCGCCGATTCAGGAAGTGATCCAAGCTGGTGTTGTCCCTCGTTTTGTTCATTATCTTATTACGGAGGATTTCCTCAACTTCAGCTTCAAGCTCATTATTCCCCATCCTGCGTACAAAATGAAGATTATATTTGTTTGGTGTTACGTATAAATATCTTTTTCCATCCTTTGCAAATTTGTAGTTTGAGGCAGCTTGGGCTCTCACAAACATTGCTTCCGGGACATCTATGCACACTAAGGTTGTAATAGACATTGGTGTTGTTCCCATATTCGCACAGCTTCTTAGTTCTCCCAGCGATGATGCCCGTGAACAGGTACATCTTTGACGGATGATAAAGAAATTTCCTCTTCTGGTGTTTGGAATCATGTTCAATGCCTTGCATTGCTTTCTGGATTTTGAATGTTGCATGATATAATTGAATTTTATTGCTATTTATCTCTTATTCCTTAATTTTCTTTTGACTACATTAGGCTGTATGGGCTCCGTGAAATGTGGTTGGTGATTCCCCAAAATGCCGTGATCTTGTTCCTGGTCATGGAGCTCTAGGTCCTTTGCTGGCTTAGCTAAATGAGCATGCAAACTATCATTGTTGCGAAATGCCACGTGGACACTATCTAATTTCTGCAGAGGCAAGTTTTAGCCATTTTTGACAAGGTATTACATTCAGCTTGAATGTCTGTTCATCTCACAGCTCTTTCAATTCTACAGGATTATTTGCATGCTTTGCTCTTTCAAAGCTTTTTTCGTCTATAGTGGATGCTAGAGTAGTCCACATGTCCCTCATAAGAAATTGCTTTGACACCCCCCTATCCATGTTTGCCACATTCTTGTGCTATGAGATATTAAGTAGTTGCTACATTCTTAACTTCCTCCATCTTGTTCTGTGGTCAACTGATTGATTCACAACCAATCTTGTTATAAGATGTATACTTATGCTTCCTGATAATATATATATATTTTTTGTAAACTATAACAAAAGATTATATGCTAGCCCACTATAGCTGTTATGTATATATATTTTTTCAGAAACGGTAGGAATTGTATTAATGATTTAAAGCTTTACATTTGTTGAGCAAAGGCTCCTAAAAGGCTATACAAAAGTGTTAGATCACCAAGGATTGTTCTATTCCTCATCACCATATGTGCCTAGAGCATATCTACTTACATTTTTAACCAAGCTATCACTTTCCCTATCTCAGCAGAATGAGCATTTTTGAAACAAAAGCTCACTATAGCTGTTATAAACCGTTCACTATGTGATATTTATGATTTAGTTTTAAACATAAACATGCAAATCTCTCAGTCTCCTGGGCTAAATTTTGGTGTAGAAAGTTTACATTATATCACAGGTTTAAGCAAATTTCGGTGCACATTATATAACATATTTAAATGATATTTTTCTTAATACATTGCACATTATATCATTGGGTTAGGTAAATTCATATTACCTTCGCACGCATCGTACGCTTGTACCAAGAAAGCAAGAAGTGATAGCTAAAGCCCTCCCTCCAAAAAAAAAAAAAAAAAAAAAAAATATATATATATATATATATATATACCCAGTCATACTTCACACTGTACAACCAAACCAATCATCTGTTAACTATGTCAAAAAAAAAACAAAAACACACACACACACACAACACTAACAAAAAATATACCACAGCAGAAAAAACACCAATCCAGGCTATCTGACGCATGGCGTCAGGGCCTGAAAAACTAGTACATATATAAAACGGGAATGGCTTGTGAGCAGTGCCCATGGTTTGGTAATACTGTGATTTTTGTGAGTCTTAGGAATGTTCTTGTCTTTGGTATTGGTTAGGAGTGGTGTTGCTGGAAATTCACTATTCTCCGTGTATTGTTGTTGTTGGACAAGAACAATTTTGGCGGTGAGTTGAGGCCCGATGCAACAAACACCGTTCCAAAGCTTTGCAATTTTTCTTACTCTTTTTTTAGCTTTGTCTGCCCGGTGTATTTTCCCTTCCTCCCGAGAAAATTCCAAATTTATGATGAAATTTAAAAAATTTCTACAAAGGGGGCAGTTTGATAATGCAATTCTGTCCGGGGGTCTTCACATTTTATCACCCAGAAAACCAAAAAAAAAAAAAAAATCGTCTTTGACCCCGCATTTGTGAAATGTGAGGTCCATGACCCATTTCAGAAATCCGAGGTTATTGACTTGTAAAAAAAAAAAATTTGCTTAGTTGGACCTCTAAAAAAAATTAATCTTTTATGTTACAGCATTGGTAGCACATTGTGATGAGAAATAGCCTCAAGCTAAAGGAAATTCCGCTATTCGAAGGGATAAAAGTATACAAAAGGCCATATTAGACCAAGCAAATTCAACAACCACTTCGCATATTGTCATTTACTAAATGCGAGCTTCTAAAAAAGTTAAAGTAAAATAATATTTATTTTCTTCTAGCGAGCTTCTACAAAATTAAATTTAAAAAAAGATTTGTTTTCTTAGAGTAGTAAACACGACCTCGTAGAGAATTAAATTTCACACAATATTTGTTTTGCAGATCTCTCATTTACTAAAACCAATCTTTAGTAAAATCTTATTTTTTAAAAAATAATTGTTTAGGCATTCATTGCGAATTCATAGAAAACTACATTAAAAAATTGCTAATTTTTTTTATTTAGGAGCTCACAATCATTTTTGTTTTCGAATTGACATTTATCATGGAGGAATAAATCCTTTTTCTTTTTAATTATAGATTTGTGAAAAAAATTATAATTTGAACATAAAAAGTTGTGCGATAACACTACAAAATTTAATTATTCAAAATCAGAATATAGTCCTTGCAGATAAAATAATCAATGAAGACTAAGCTCAAAACCAAATTAGCCTCGATTGGAGTGCTAATCGCGACTTAGCAAGGAAAGTGAATAAAATGCGATTTACCAACGCAAGTGGAGAAAACGCGACTTTTGCTAAGTCGTGTTTTTATTGATGCAAGAAAACGCGACTTAAAGTCACATTTTGTGAAGTTGCGTTTTCATTTCTGCAAGGAACCTGAAGAAAACGTTTGGTTTTAGTCAAAAGAAAAACAAAAACAATTTGCTTGAATTTATAAAAAACAAAAAAAAAAACAAAAAATGATGAGCTTGAATTTATTAATATTAAAAAACCAAAAGGTTTGAAGCAAAATTCATTCTCGCATATGTTTGCCTGACGTCTAAAGCAAATTTTTTTTTTTAGATTTTTACAAAATCAGAAATTCAATAATAAATCGCATTTGCCGAATGCGAACTACCTATTCTTAGAATCCCCAACACAAACAACCCCTCAAATAGAAAATTTTTTTTTTTTCATAATAGTTTTAGAATTTTCTCTCGTTTTCCTATTGAGCTGTCGACTAGACTATAAATAATTGACTGCAATCTCCATTAAGTATTTAGAGAGTTAATCTTGCTATGATTGTGCCTTTTGTTATTGTGACTCCATCCAACTAATCAAGCCAAGAAAAATAGCACACTTTACCAATACAAATTACTACCTAACAAATTACAAATACATCACATATCCTAAGGACAATGATCCTCATATACAGTAGCAACAAATTGGCCACGTATAAAGAAACTCACCACTATTTGGCGATTCTTTCCTGACACAATTAACACATGATATACAAGTAGCAAACCTACTCAAATTAATTAGAAACCACATGCTACAAAGATGTGCAAGTAACACCTAACTGACACCAATGCAAACCACCGCCACACTCTAACCTTTCCTAGCTGGCTTTTCCTTTCCTTTGAACTATTCTTTCCACACTCCAATTTTTCGGGCTCATACCCATTTTTAGTAAAACAACAAGTCCTAGCCATCTGACGCATAGTGTCAGGACTGAACCTAGTCAAAATAAATGCAGCCATCTAAAAGCACGGAACTTGCTTGCAAATTCCAATTTGATTTTGATAGAACAGCTACAATTGCAAACAAAAACTTAACTCTTTAACTTCTCAGCACAAATAAGGCGTTTCAAAGAAAAAATGTTGCAAACTAGCTCACATGGGTGGTGCGATTTTGCCGTTGTCCTTGTTATTTTTGTCAAAGGGACATTTTCATTATTACTTTTTCCTTCTCCTAATGCCATAAGAAATGCATTCTTCCCAATTTGGCGAAGTTACCTAGCTTCTGTATTTGAATTGAACCCACCATGGGTAGCAAAGTAGAGTTTCAACTTTTCTCTATTTTCATACTTCCTAGATAAGGAAAATTTTGGTTTCAACTTTATAAATTCCTTTGAACAAATGTTCTTTGATGACAAAATACTATTACTTTTAAGCGTGTATCTCTATCAATCTATCATTTCCTTGTTTTATACTAGTAGACAAATAAGGAGAGAACACCAAATTCATCACACCTAATTTCCCAAATTTTTTTCTCAAAGACAAAACTCCAAACAAAAACTCTTCTTGGAACAGCTCTCAAAATTTCGTCCACCTGGCTTCAGATGTTTCATGGGATTCCTTTTTATCAACTTCACAAGGATTCTATCAATAAAGAAAGATCCTTAATTGCTTCTGCAGTTTGTAGATACCAACTTACCAAACTTATACACCAATTATAATGTTTCACTAGTTTCCTTTACTTCTGCAGTTGGTGAATGTAGAATCATCTTTTATTTCTTTATCTCCCCGAAATTTTTTTCACGGGCTTTAGATTTGTACTTGAGAATAATTGTTAGCAATAATTTCATAAACCTCCCCTAATGTTTTTGACTATTTCACTTAATTCCCTTGAAGTTTTAAAAATTATACTTACCTCCCTTGATTTCACACTTTGGTAACCAAACCTTAAAATAAGGTCAAAAATATAATGAATACCCTAAAATGCCCTTATCTTATAAAGTTCAATTAATTCTTGGGAATTTCGCCAATTCGGTCCCTAAACATTTTCACTTAAATCAATTTCGTCCTTAATGAAATATTTTAACCAATTTAGTCCCTTAACTAGTTTTTTACTTCCAATGTAGGACTTTTACTCAATTTGCGTGGACCAACAGGGGTAAAATTGTCACACTGGTTTAATCTTTTACAATTTACTGGTGAAACAGATTAGAGATCATTACGAGGGAGAGATCATTAGCTGACAAAACAGAGAAGAGAGCCTGATGTCAGCTAGTGCCTCTGCCCTCAATCTTTTCCGATTCCTTGGTCTTGCAAGGAAGAGATGGCACAAGCCGTCAGAGTAAATGGGATCAGTAGGTTCAAAAGAACAGTTTGAACAAGTGGGTGAATTGAGGCAGCTGCAAAGAGGAGAAGTGCAGGGAAGCGGGTGGTAGCGGTACGTACAAGAAGAGGGGTTGCTGCAGGTGCATTCCTCCTAATTGAAAGAGGCAGTGAGGTCAACGAGTAGTTTTGTGGGCTGCTGGTAAGGGGTTCTCAAGTAAAGTGACAAAAAGTGAAGCCGAGTGGGAGGATCCTGGAGAATGGGAGCTAAAATAGCTGAAGAAGAAAGGTGAATGCACAGAAATGGAACGAAGGAGAAGAATTGGAGCTTGAACTTAAAGAAGTGGCATTGCTTCTCTTGGGCATTGAATTCCATGGTATGGAGTGGAATGGGGCAGAGACAAATTTGCAGTGTAGGTGGAAAGAAGGAAGTATTAGCCAAATCTTTGGAGCCCGATGAACATGTAAGGAATTAAAAAAAAAAAAAAGCTCCTACCAGCAGGGTTTTGGCTAATTGCTCATGACATCCGTCCTGAGTCTTCAAGCATCATCCCTTTGAGACTCTTAGCTAACCAGATTGCTGTCTCCCTTGGAGAAGCCTTATCTTTTCCGAAAGGTTTTAGAACAACAGCAAGCTCTTCTAGTCTATTATGCTGAAGCAAATCTGCAAACAATTCTAGGAGCCCTTCTAGTGCCTCTGCCCTCTGCCGGAAAGATTTGACATCCAAAGTTTCTTTTGCTGGTGTTGTTGGGGCTTCCTCCTCTGCTACAGGAGAATTCATTATTGCTGGTTCTGAAGAATCTAACTTTGGAGCTAGAGTGAAGTGATTGGTCGGAGCTTTCACGTCCACTTCTTTAGTGTTTGCATTATCTGAGAGGTTTGATTTTAAACTCAGTGTCTCAGAG